CCTCACAATTTGCCTGCTTTGGCATGGTTTGGGCCCTGTTTCGCTTGAGACGTCCTCACAACTTGCTTGGTTTGGCCCTGGTTTGGGTTCGGTTTCACCTGAGACATCTTCACGGTTTGCTTGGTTTGGGCCCTGGCTTGGGCCCGATTTCGCTTGATATGGCCTCACAATTTGCCTGGTTTGGCTCTGGTTTGTCCTGGTTTGGGCATGGTTTCGCTTGAGACGTCCTCGCAATGTGCTTGCCTTGTGTTGGTGTTCGTTCGATGTCGCTTGATATGTCCTCACGCCGCGGATGATTTGGCAAATTCGAGGGCGTCCTTCGCTTGGACGTCCTCCTGGGTTGGGGGCAGTGTCGGCGCGTCTGTGGAAAAGCGTCGCCTGCGGGGTCTTTCCACCGCCCATGGTTCGACCTGGTATCTTGCACGCGTATCAGGAGACATAGTTGCAATTTGCCCGGCATCGGGCGTGGGCATAGCCCGACTCCATGCTAAACGGGCTTATTGTCCTCCTCCTCCTTTCCCCTCTCCTCTTCCTCGTGCTGAAGCGGGCATGGACATCGGAAGCGCAGGGTGTTCGGCCACTCTGTCACATAGTGCAACCATCGATCACATAAGTCATGCTGCTATGCGGCATTGGACCGTGTGGCGGCGTTCGGAGAAAACTTGTCCCAGCTTGTAGTTTAATCGTCCGCTGAAAATTCACTGATCACACAACCTGACGGGGCATGTAGCACTGCCCAATGCGGGCTGCATGAAACAATTGCGACAAGGACGCACACGGGACACGAAACAGTAACGTGGAAAGCTTGGATGTTTTAACTATGTAGGATCTACTGGAAGGTCACCACACGGCTTCGGGATCCCAAAATGTCCGTTGCTGTTCGAGTGTAAACAGGAAAGTTACCACAAGCATGAATTGTCGGAGGTCCGCGCGAATTTCTTGGATCGGCGCTGGACTCCCCTCGCCAGCGCGCGGAGCGCGCCAGGGGCGGTGCCGGAGGCACCGCCAGCCAGCGCCGGTTCGAGAAATCCGCACGGATTTCCGACAGGTTATGCCCATGTAGTTTGTGCTTGTGTTCCTCTTATCCGTCCCTCCTTGGCCGGGTTGTCGGACGTCCTTCTCATGAGGAAAAGGTACCCATACCGCTACCCTTCGCCCGTTGCCCCCTTTTTCCAGCCCCATGGGAGGAGGCCCTGGTCGTCACCGCTGGATTCGCCTCGAGATTCTTGGTCAGAATGCCACCCCGGGAGATGTCTGGGGAGTAGCGGTCGGTGCTCAAGAGACGGGCTTCCAGGATGTGCTCTGGTTGCCGCGCTTCTCCCAGGGCTTTTCTGGGGGTGCCTGGATCGTTCCGGACGGCCGCGTTACGCGTTGGGCTTCCGACAGCCAGACCAGTTGCAGTCGGACCGAGGCACAGGATCGAGGTCGGTTCGGGGAGGGTATTCCAGTCTTAAGTCGGGCCTGTCCCTCTACAGGAGGAACATTCAAAAATAGTTTTTAAAATAGTATGTGGACGATTGTTCGGTTATTTTCGACTACTTGATGATATGTTTTGACTATTTCTCATTTGTCTTCCAAATCCGCCTGTAGGAGGATCTGCCCAACCTAACCCTAGTGTTTGTCGTGCCTGTTGGACGTTCTTGCGCATCCTGGGGAGGGTACCCTTGGAGGTTCTGTCCGTTTCGGCCAGCGGATGGTCTCATGTTTTTTGAAGGATGTTCTTCTGGCCTGCGTCCGACTATCCGCCCAAACTTATAAAGCCACTAAAGGAATGGCTCGGCTGAGCAGACACGGCCAAACAATCAAGTTGGGACTCAACGCGTGTACCCTGGAAGACAAGGGCGATGTAAACGCGCGTGCCCCAAACCGTCAACACATTAAACCAATATGATGTCCCACCTGCAGGGTCCACTTTATGCTGTACAACATGCGGAATGCAATCCATCTATATATATATATATACATATATATATATATATATATATATGTATGGTGTACAACGTGTTCGATGCAACGTATGAGGTGCCTTCCGATTGGGGTGTAACTGTGGTGCAGCCAGCAGGGTAAAAGTTGAGGGGTGCCAGTGAAGGGATGCGCCTCATGGGGCGCCCCTCATGGGTTGCAACCCATGGCTTCCAACTGGTGGGACACAATGGGTGGGACCCTGAAAGGAAACACAAGTTTCTTCAATCTTGAATCCTTGACAAAGGTGATACATCCGAACACGTTCCGTGCAAGACTTTCACTCAAAGAAATGATGTCTTCGAAAGTTGTTCGATCTATTGGAATACTGCCTTCGGACATGTCTACGTTCAGGAACTGTTGCCTTCAAACACTGGCCGTTCAAGATCCGGTTGCCTTTAGAAACATGTTCCGGTACAGATGCGTTCGAAGATTGTTGCCCTCAAGAAGGTCCCCCATCATTAACAGCTCGTCCCTCCAAGAACTGCTCCCTGCAAAAAGCTGTTGCCTTCAAGCCTCACGCTCTTCAACGAAATGTTTGCCCGTTTGTGCCCACCGCCGGCCCTGCGCCACACAGGGCCACGGATTCCGTGAGCGCCCTTCGTCCGGATATCTTGCGGCGCGACGCCGCTGGGCCCCAGCGCGCCTGTGCGAGTTCGTGGCCGGCGGAGGAGCGAAGCCCTCCATGCAGGGATGGCCTTTGGTGCGCGACTCCACGGAAGACGCGGGGTGGCCAAGCCCTGGCGCGCAAGCCGCTGCTACTGCTTCGCCGTCAGCGATCGCGGGCCCCCACTGGGCCCGCAGCGAAGGCCTCGCCTGCGAAAGGTTTCTCTTGCGTGCAGTCGACGGGGTGGCGGCGCCAGCGCCGCCGCGCGCCCCTGGCCGTCGCAGCGGCGATGGGGCAGGCCTCCCGGTGGCGGCGCGCTCGCTCAAGAATCTTGCAGCGAGTGCTCGGTGGTGGCCGCTCTCGCGCCATATAGCCTGAGTAAAGATATCAGATGATTCATATAATATATCTATATATATACGCATGCATATGTAAATTCATATATATGTATACACATACATATATATACAGTTATAGATCGATATATATATATACATATACATATATAGATGTGTATGTCTGTGTGTATGTATCGTGTGTTCGGTCCGGACGTGCGCCTCCGCGCGGAGCGCATAGTGGTACAGTTGTTCGTCCCCAGTTTCAATTCACAGGCCCGCGTGGGGTCGCAGAGATTGAAAGGCGAGGTCTCTGCTCCGCCGCGCGGCGAAGACGCAATCGAACGTTGAACTCTCCACTGTCTGAGAATCTCACAGGAGAAGGTTTCTGCTTTCGATGTGTTTCGCCCTCCGCTGGGAATGCGCATGTTCGCATTTTGGTCTCGATCACGCCATTGTTCCCGAGCAAACTTCAGTGGCGCTTGCCTCGTCTGAGCCAGAGTGTATGCGGACGTAGCAATGGCATTGCGACTGCGCGCTTCCGTGTCAGCGCAGGGTATTGGAGGATCCGAGCCTCTCCAGGAACGCAGCGCAACTGCGACGGATCTCAATATCTGCGACGACGCCCGGCGCAACAGCGAAAATGTTTCACGCGTCGCGTACCCCCACCAGCCCATTCACAAACCCTGTCCATTAGAGTTGACGGGGAAAGAGACGAAGGGACACACACGTCGTGCAACAACGCGGACAGCCAGGGCGCATTGGAGGGCCTCTTCGCTTCGGGCCATCCCTGGGGCCCGCGTGGGGGCGAGGGAGGGAGGAGGAGCAGGAAGACGACGACGACGACCACCACAACCATCACCACCACCACGGTGGCGAGGAAGAGGAGGAAAGGGAAAGGAAGACGATGAGGGCAAGGACGAGGACGAGGGCGAGGAGGAAGAGGAGGACAATGAGGACGAGGACAGACCCCCCAGACTCGCCTTCTGTCGCCCTCTTGGGACTCGTTTGGGGGATCTTGGGGTCCTGGGGCTCTTCTGGAGGGTCTTGGGGCTCTTTTGGAGCCCTCTTAGGGTTCTCCTGGGAGCCCTGGAGGGCCTCTTGGGGCCATCTTGGATGCCACCGATCAGAAGGCAGGGGGTCCTAGATTTTGGCCCCTCCCCTGGGGCCATCAAGATCGCCTCTTGGGGCCCTCTTGGAACTCCCTTCTCGTCCTCATCTCCTCATCTCCTCGCCTCTTCTCGTCTCTCCTTCTTGCCCCCTCTTCTCGCCCTCGTCTCCTCGACTAGCTATCTCCCTCCCCTGGGCCTGCACAGAGCTCCGATAACACAACAGCTGCACTTGTATTTCTGCATGTGCTACTGCAGGCGGGCCGGATCCTAGTCGGCTCCAGGGGGCCGATGAAGTCAGCTTTGGAAGTTGTCTGGGCCCAGCAGACTTCTGATGACTTCTGGGACTCTCCTGGAACGGTTTTGGGCGCTCTTGGGGGCCTTCTGGGGGGCCTCTTGGGCCCCTCTTGGGCCTCACTTGGGCCATCTTGGTGCCTCGGAAGCACCAGAGAAGTGGAGTACGACGCTCGGCGCAACAAAGAAGTTTGTTTGATTTGGGGAGTTCAGGGCAATATGAGAACGAGGCCATCTTGGGGCCATCCTGAGGCCTCCAAAGCGCATCAGAAGCGAAACGGCGAGAAGGCAAAAGTCATTGGTCAGTCGTTAGGCGATTGAGGGGTTTTGGCCTCTTGAGAGGTCCTGAGGAGGCTCTAGAGCACTTGGAACCGTCTTGTGGCCCTCGTACGGCCTATTGGAGGTTTGCCGGAAGCTATATTGAATCATTGCCGGTTATTTTTACCCATCTTGGAGGCCATCTTGGAGCATTGGAGGGCACCCCCCGAAAAAATCAAGAACAGGGAGATAGGGTAGATATACCTCTCGGAGAGGAAGAGGTTTTTGGTTGGAAGGGGAAAGGAAGAACTCCTTAGACCACCGTAGCCCAGATGCTTGATGGGATTCTCTGATCTGGGACTTCAAGGCAGTATAAACACGAGGACGATGGCAAATGTCCGCGACAATGATGCGAGGGTCGACAATGGTCCCTCACCCGAGTTCCGAAACCTTCGCGGCGGCGCGGCGCGTGGCTTGGGACTAGGCGGGACCTTCACTCAGTGGCGCGTGATGTTGAACACCATTGCGTTTCCCGTCGAGCCAGGATTTGGCGGTGCTCCTGTTCTATTGCTCGACTGGCTTTCGGCCCGTCCCGCCTCCGTGCCTGGGTCTTGGGTTTGAGGCGTCCTGGAGGGTCGTTGGGATCTCATCGAGGCCTCTTGGGGGCCTCCTAGAGCCTTCCAGCCAAGCTGCACGAGGCCATAAAGAGGGCAGCCCACGCCGAAAATACAAAGGGTGCCATCCAGGCAGGTAATAATTACACCCGGAATCCCCGCAGCCTTCAGCTCGAGGCTCGCCTCGAGATAACGCTACGAATTGTGACATTGGCGCTGCGCCGAGGGAGCCTTCTGAGAAGGCAGGGGGGGGGCGCTAGCAGACCCTCCCGCCTGGGAGGCAGGCCTCCTGGAAGACCGAGGGGGGCTCCTCGGGCGACGGGAGGCCTTCCGAGAAGCCTCCCGCCGTCTGGGCAGGCCGCTCCCCTGCCCCTTTCCCCCCTCGGCGCGCCGCCACGAAGCGAGCCCGGAGCCCGTCTCTGCTCGACCCCCTCTCGGGAGCCTCGAGACGGGGGTCCATGCAGACGGGGGTCAGCCAGAGCGCCCGAGCTTGCAGGATCCTGCAGGGCCAGGGTCGCAGTGACCCGGGCTTGGGCGCAGGATCCTTCGGGATCTTGCAGGGTCCCTCGCACTGACCCGGGTTTAGGTGCAGGATCTTGCAGGATGTTGCAAGCATCGATCTTGCAGGATCTTTGCATTGACCCAGGTTTAGGTGCAGGATTCGGCAAGGCCTGACTGACCCGGGGTTGGATCGACCCGGGCCAGGAGATCCCCGACCCCTCCCTTTCCCTTCCCTGCGGGCGCCGCCATGGCGAGCCCCTCCTCCGCGTCGGGCTCCGCCGGCGATCCTGAGGCTCCCGCGTGCGGCGACGCAGGCCTGCTGGCGTTGGTGCCCGCGCAGGATCTCGGAGATTGCCGACTGGACGCCTGCGCCGTTGGTCGCAGCTCCTGGGTGCCTTCGCATACCCTCGCGTGTCCGTCGCTGGAGTCCACTAGCGTCGAGTAGCGCCTGGGAGTCGATGAGACAGCGCCGATTTGGCGTCGCCTTGCGTCGATGAGGCTCCGTGAAGCGCCGAGTTAGCGTCGGCCGGCGTCAATTGGCGCCGATTCGCAGAAGCCGACAGGGCACGGGAGGCCCCCAGGAGCTGCCACCGAGTGCGCCGGTCCTGCCCCCCCCCAGATGGTGGGCGCACGGGTCGGGGCACTCGCCTGCCTCGCAAGAGCCAGGCGCGCGCGTGTGCGTCGATCTTGCGCGGAAGTCGGGCCTGTCCCTCTACAGGAGGGATATCCCAGGATAGCTAAAGATAGTCCGGGGGCGATTCTTTTTTAGCATGTTTGACCACGTTTGACGATTGGTTGGCTATGTTGCATCTGTCGTGCAAAGTCCGCCTGTGGGGGGACACGCCCGACCTGATCCTGGGCCCAGGATGGGCGTGGCCAGGCTCGGTGCCTGTGCACAGTGCTCGGCGCCGGAGGCGCGCGAAACTCGGGTTTGCCGACGCTTCTTGACGAGCGCGCCCTGGATTTTGACGGTCCAGTGTTCATGGGATGTCTGCAGCAGGAGCTCGCGCCAAGTTTCAGATCGGGCCTCGTCCTTTTTGGGTGATGGCCTCGTCGAGCCAAGCCGAGTCCCCCGTGCCCGAGTCTTCTGCGTCTCCCCGACCGGAGGGTTCCAAAGGGGGTTTTGTTGGGGGGAGGGGGTTTTCCAGGAGGGGTCCCCCAGAGGCATCGCACCCCCTGTTTGTTCGACGAGGCTCCGAGGCCCCTGGGGGGCTCTCTGGAAGACCCCTTCCCCAAACGCCCCCTCTGGAACCCTCCGGCCCGAAGCTGGCGCCCCCCCCCAGGATCCGGAGACCGGCCCCGTGGCAGTGCTCGACGGGGCGCTGGCGATGGACGTGTCCGTCGCCCTGCACGGCGGGCAGCTCTCCCCGGCGCTGCGGCGGGGCGCCGCGTGCCCGTGCGCCGGGGAGGCCGAGCTGCTGACCTCTAGCGTCAAGTCGGGCTGTGTCCCTCTCCAGGAGGCGTGTCCGACGAGAGTGCACAGCCGGTCCGGGGGCCATGCTTTTGATGTTACGTGTGAGCAGGTCTGCAGATGTGTTTGGAGTCTGCTCGACATTTCTCGGCCAGAAAATCCGCCTGCGGGGGGCCACGTCCGACCTGACTCCAGCGCCGACGGCCAGGCGCGCGGCGTGGTGGTCGTGGTGCAGGGCCTGCGGCCGCTGGCCGAGGGCTGCGCGGAGCTGGCCCGCGTGCCCGTGGCCCTGAGCCCGCTCGTCCGCGGGCTCCCGCAGGCGTCGGGGGGGGGCCCCCGGGGGCGTGGTGCGGCTACCCCGCGCCGTGGGCCCCCATTTGAGTAGGAGATCGGCTGCAGAATTGAGTTACCCCAGAGTTGACTTCCACGTCGGATCCCAAACAAACTTACGTAGAAGATTCGTAGATTTGCGAAAACTCCACAAATTGTCCGTGGATTCGACAAGGAAAATCAATTCTGGGTTAAATCAGTTCTGTAGTCGATCCCCTACTCGACCCATGGGATCCTGGTGGTTCGTTTCTGTTCGAGACGGGCGTCGTCGCTCACTGTCGGGCCCCGGGACCCTCACAGATCGATCCGGCGCGAAAAAGGACGCAGAAGGATGGGGGTTGGGGGTCCTGTCGTCATGTTTTGCGATGTTACATTTTGTTGCAACGTCGGATCTCAGGGGGTCTGGTCTTGCCACGAGGACGTCTGAGGCGATTGAGGCCTCCGAGGTCCCAAGAATATGCGGCGACGGACCATCGTTGGGAATTCCGAGGTCGGTTTCACCACAAGGTCTTGGGGCCCCGACAGGTGTCGGTGCTGCTGTCTGTTTCTGCGCAGGGGCAGCTGCGCGTGCGCGTCAGGGACGTGGCCACCGGCCGGGAGCGCACGTGGACGCGCTTCCCGGGCGCCCGGGCTCGCCACGAAGCAGATGGGCCTTGGAGGCTTAAGTGGGCACTTTTCGGGCTTTGGGGGGCTCCCACGTGCCCCGGGACAGTCAAGAAACGACCCGGCATGAGAAGCTGGTCTGGCGGGGGAGGAGGAGGAGGAGGAGGAGGAGGAGGAGGAGGTGGACGAGGAGGAGGGCGAGGACGAGGACGAGGAGGAGGACGAGGAGGAGGAGGAGGACGAGGAGGAGGACGAGGAGGAGGAGGAGGACCCCGGGTCCAGGGCCTGTTTCCCTCAAGGCCCAGTTGCTTCATGCCAAGGGGCGTGCGGCTCACCTGGGCATCACGGCCTTGCCCCCTGGAGGTTCCACCTGCAGGATCCTCACGCACGGCACGCGGGCTACACGCTGGGCGGCAGGTTCTTGCACGTGGTGGAGGCCCCGGTGCCGCAGGCCGAGGGCGAGGCTGTCGATCCAGAGGCCACGGCAGGGAAGGTGTGGCCTTGCGGGTATTATCTTGCTGCCTATGCTGCCAGAGAGATCGCGGGGTCCTGTACGGGCGCGTGCCAAGTGCTAGAGCTGGGCGCTGGGCAGGGCCTGGTGGGGATGGCACTGGCGGCTGCTGGAGTGAGGGTTACGTGCACCGACCTCTCAGAGAACATGCCACTCCTCCGCGAGAACTTGAGAGTAAATGGCCTTGCCGAGCAGGTGACTTTGGTTGACCTGGACTGGCGATGCCCTGCGTCTCGGTCAAGGGTAGCTGCTTCTCATCGTTTTGACGCAGTGGTTGCCGCAGATTGTGTGTTCTGGCCAGAGCTCTTTCGGCCCCTGCTAGACTGCCTGGCGGCCGTGCTGTCTCGGGGATCCACAGCTTACTTGGCGTTGGTCCACCGCCAGCACACCGTGGAAACATTCTTACAAATGCTCAAGGCGGAGTTCGAGGTTCAGGAACTCGCTGGCTGGTGTGTAGAGACGTACCTCATGAACACGCCACGCCTTTATTTGGTGAGACACCGCGCGGCAGTCCACCCAGAGCTGAAATCGCCAAAAGCGTCAAGAACAATTCAACTATAGATCCTCAATGAGTTTGCTCAAATGCTTAATCAAGAGGCTTACGCCATCCCGCCGATGCCCACACGAAGTGAGGAACCCATCCGTAGAAGTTGTTCGGGCGAGGTATGGTCCACAATGTCAGGTTGCGTCTGAGACTTTCATGGGCGGGTTGGACGTGGTCGTGGTCAAGCCGAGGATGTGCAACCGAGGATCCTTACGGAACCGAGCGCAGGGTCCTACTTGAACCTTCTTGTACCATGTGACACTGGGCCTCGTGAACGCGCCCTGGACTTTCTTATGCTTCATGTCGACTCCTCCTGGCGGTCATTTCCAGACAAGGGAGGCAATCCACGGGTGAGACCTGTTGGAAACCGTTGCGAGGCTTCATTTGCGCCTCGAGGGCGCCGTTTGGGGCCGCTCGGAAGTTTCGTTGGCACTTGCTGGCGGTCTGAGGTTTCTCTTAGGAGTTCTTCCCAACCGTTCTGTAGTGTTGGGTCCTCGTTTTGAAACGACAGTGCCCCGCGTTATCCCTCGTCCTCCCTCCCCTCTTTCCCTCCCACCCCTGCCTCTACCCTCCGCAAGTCCATGCCGGCACACTTCTCAAACGTTTCGCGGCCCCATTAGGAGCTCCGCCGAAGGCCCCACTGGCGGTTCTCGCACGCGTCCCCCGCACTCATTTCGGCATACCCATCATACGCCTCGTGACCCCATAGGGAGCTCCACCAGAGGCCCCAGTTGCGGTTCTCGCATACGTTCTCCGCACCAATTTCGGCACACACCTCATACGTTTCGTGGCCCCACAGGGAGCTCTCATTATGAGCTCCGACCAGTCGCAACGGTCGTCACAGTCGTCAGCGTCGTTAGGGTTGTTGCGGTCTTCGCGGTGGTTGTGGTCGTCGTGGTCATCGTGGTCTTAGCGGTCGTCACTGCCGTCACGGCCGTCGCGGTCGTCACGGTCATCGCGATGTCAAGGTCGTCATGGTCGTCGCGGCCGTCGTGGTCTTCGTGACGTCACGGTCGTCAAGGTCGTCGCGGCCGACGGTCGTCACGGTCGTCGCGGTCACCACGGTCGTCATGGTCGTCGCAGTCGGCGCGGTCAACACGATCGTTGTGATCGTCATGGTCGTCACGGTGGCCGCAGTCGTCACGGTCGTCACGGTCGTCGCGGTCGTAAAGGCCGTCACGGTCGTCATTGTCGTCACGTTCGTCGTGGTCGTCACGGTCGTCATGGTTGTCACGGCCGTCACGGTCGTCACGGTCGTTTTTGTCGTCGTGGTTGTCGTTGTCTTCGCGGTCTTCGCGTTCGTCGTGGCCGTCACGTTCGTCACAGTTTTCGCGGTCTTCACGGTTTTCGTGGTCGTCACGGTCGTCACGATTTTCGCGGTCGTCGCGGCCGTCGTGATCGTCGTGGTAGCGGTGTCGTCGTGGTCGTCATGATCGTCACGGTCGTCACGGTCGTCCCGTTCTTCGCGATCGTCGTGGCCGTCACGGTCGTTTTGGCGGCCACGGTCGTCACGGTTGTCGGTATTCGCGGCTTTCGCAGTCGTTACAGTCGTCACGGTCGTCACGGTCGTCGCAGCCTTTGGTGACCGCCACAGTAGCCATTCTAGTCGTGATCGTCATGGCCGTCACGGTCGTTTCGGTTGTCACGGTCGTCATGGTCGTCACAGTCGTCATAGTCGTCACGGTCGTTGTGGTCGTCACGGTCTTCTCGGTCATCACGTTGTTCGGGGTCGTCGCGGCCGTCACGGTCGTCATGGTCGTCACGGGTATCAGGGTCGTCGCGGCCATCGCGGTCGTTTCAGTCGTCGTGGCCGTCGCGGTCGTCGTTGTTGTCGTGGTATTCTGTGTCTTCACGATCTTCGCGGTCGTCACGGCCGTCGCGGTCGAGATTGTGTTTTCGATCGTCACGGTCTTTGCGGTCTATTGTGCCGTCACGGTGTTCGCGGTCGTCGCGGTTTTCGCGATCGCCGTGGTCGTCGCGGCGTCGCGGTCGTCGTGGTCGTCGCGATCGTCGGTGTCGTCGTGGTCGTCACGGTCGTCATAGTCGTCACAGGCGCCACGGTTGTAACGGTCGTCATGGTGGTCACGATTGTCGTGGTCGTCGCGGTCGTTGTGGTCGTTACGGTCTTCGCAGCCGTCACGGTCGTCACGGTCGTCGTGGTCGTCCCGCTCTTCGCGGTCGCCGTGGCCGTCACAGTCGTCATTGTCGTTTTGGCGGCCAGTGTCGTCACGGTCGTTGCGGTATTCATTGTTTCGACAGTCGTCATGGTTGTCTCGGTCGTTTTGGCCGTCGTGGCCGTCACGGTCGTCATTGTCGTCATGGTCGTCACGGTCGTCACATTCGTCTTGATCGTCACGGTCGTTTTGGCGGGTCGTCGCGGTCGTTTTGGTCTTCGTTGTCGTTGTGGTCGTCGTGGTGGTCATGGTCGTCGTGGTGGTCGTGGCCGCCATTGTCGTCATGGCCTTCACGGTCGTCATGGTCGTCGTGGTCTTCGAGGTTGTTACGGTCGTCAGGGTCGTGGCAGTCGTCTCGGTCGTCGTAGTCGTCGCGGCCGTCGGCCTCGTCAGTGTCGTCGCGTCCTCGCGGTCGTCACGGTCATCGCGGTCGTCACCATCGTCACGGTCGTCACGGTCTTCTTGGTCGTCGCGGTCGTCGGTCGTCGTAGTCGTCGCGGTTGTTGCGGTCGTTTTGGCCGTCACGGTCGTCACGATTGTTGCCGTCGTCACGGTCGTTGCGGTCGTCACGGTCGTCATTGTCGTTTTGGTCGTTGCGGTCGTCACGGTCATCACAATCGTCACGGTCGTCGATTTTTGTTCGTCGCCGTCACAGTCGTCGTGGTCGTCGCGGTCGTCGTTGCCGTCGCGACGTCATGGCCGTTACGGACGTCGTTTTCTTCGTAGTCGTCGCGGTTGTCACGTTCGCAACAGTCGTCACAGTCGTCGTGGTCATCGCGGTCGTCGTTGTCGTCATGGTCGTTTTGGTCGTCGCGGCCGTCGCGGTCATTACGGTCGTCGTGGTCGGCGCGGTCTTCGCGGTCTTCGCGGCCGTCGCGGTCGTCGTGAACGTCGCGGTCGTCACAGTAATCACGGCCTTCGCGGGCGTCGTGGTCTTCATGGCCGTCACGGTTGTCCCGGTCGTCCGAGTTCTTCGCGGTGTTCGCGGTCGTCATTGTCGTCGTGGTCGTCACGGTCGTCACGGTCGTCGTGGTCGTCGCGGTCTTCGCTGTCGTCGTGGTCGCCATGGTCGTCGCAGTCGTCGCGGTCGTCGCGGTCATCACGGTCCTCGCGGTCGTCGTGGTCGTCGTGGTCCTCGCGGTCGTCGTGGTCGTCGTGGTCATCGTGGTCTTCGCGGTCGTCGTGGTCGTCGAGGTGTCATTGCCGTCACAGCCGTTACGGTCGTCGTGGTCGTCTTGGTCGTCGCGGTCGTCGTGGTCGTCGCGGTCTTCGCGGATTTCGCGGTTGTCGTGGCCGTTACGATCATCATGGTCGTCACGGTCATTTTGGTCGTTACGGTTGCCACGGTCGTCACGGAGGTCGCGGCCATCTCGGTCGTTACGGTCCTCCTGGTTTTCGCGGTCGTCATTGTCGTTGCGGTCTTCTTGGTCTTTGTGGTCGTCACGGCCGTCACGGTCTTCGTGGCCGTCACGGTCGTCACGGTCGTCGCGATCTTCACGATCGTTGTGGTCGTCATTGTCGTTGCGGTCGGTTGTCGCGCTTTTCGCGGATCTCACGGTCGTCGTGGCTGTCACGGTCGTCACGGTCGTCGTGGTTTGTCGCGGTCGTCGTGGTTGTCACGGTCGTCACGGTAGTCCCGGTCTTCGTGGGCGTCGTTGTTTTCACGGCCGTCACGGTCGTTCCAGTCGTCCCCGTCATCGCAATCGTCGTTTCCTTCGAGTTCTTCGCGGTCGTTGTTGTCGTCGTGGTCACAGTCGTCACGGTCGTCGTGGTCGTAGCGGTTGTCGCGGTCGTCACGGTCGTCGTGGTCGTCATGGTCATCGTGGTCGTCATGGTCTTCGCGGTCTCCATTGTCTTCGCGGTCATCACGGTCTTCGCGGTCGTCGTGGTCGTAGCGGTCGTCCCCTTCCTTTGTGGTCCTCGTTGTTTTTTTGCGGGTCGTCACGGTCGTCGCGGTCGTCATTGTCGTCACGGTCGTCACCGTTGTTGTGGTCGTCGTGATCGTCACGGTGATCATGGCCTCACGGCCGTCACGTTCGCAATGGCGTCGTGGGCGTGACGGTCGGCACGGTCGTCACAGTCACGGTCGTTACGGTCGTCACGGTCGTCATGGTCGTCACGGTGTTGGCAGTCATCACGGTCGTCACGGTCGTCACGGCCTTCACGGTCGTCATGGTATCCACGGCCGTCGTTGTCGTCACGGTCGTCGTGGTCGTAATGGTCGTCATGGTCGTAGCGGACGTCACGGTCGTTATGGTTGTCATTGTTGTCGCGGTCTTCGTGGTCGTCGTGGTCGTCATGGTCGCCGTGGTCGTCATGGTTGTCACGGGCATAGCGGGCCTCGCGGTCGTGGTGGTGGTTATGGTTGTCACGGTTGTCGTGGTCGCTACGGTTGTGATGGTCGTCACGGTCGTTTTGGTTCTCGCGGTCGTCGTGGTGGTCACAGTCGTCACGGTCGTCAGGGTCGCAATGGACGTCGTGGGCGTGACGGTCGTCGTGGCCGTCTCGGTCGTCACGATCGTTAAGGTCGTCGGGATGATCATGGTTGTCACGGTCGTCATGGTCGTCGCGGTCGTCGTGGCATTAGCGGTCCTCATTTTTGCCACGGTTTTTGTGGTCGTCACGGTCGTCACAGCCGTCACGGCCGTCATTGTCGTTGTTGTTGTCGCGGCCGTTTTGGTCTTTGTGTTCGTCATGGTCGTCGTGGTCGTCACGGTCGTCATGGTCGTCACAGTCGTCGCGGTCGTCGTGGTCGTAGTGTTCCTCGTTTTTCCCACGGGTTTTGTGGTCGTCACGGTCGTCACAATCGTCACGGCCGTTATTGTCGCCGTGGTCGTCACGGTCGTCATGGTATTCACCGAGGTTACGGTTGTCACGGTCGCAATGGACGTCGTGGGCGTGACGGCCATCATGGTCGTCACGGTCGTCACGATTTTACGGGCGTCGCAGTGATCATGGTCGTTACAGTTGTCACGGTCGTCCCGGTCATCACGGCCGTCACGGTATCCATGGCCGTCACGGTCGTCGTGGTCATCGTGGTCGTCACAGTCGTAGCCGACGTCATTGTCGTTAATGTCGTCACGGTCGTCGCGGCCGTTTTGGTCGTTGTGTTCGTTTTGGTCGTCGTTGTTGTCACGGTCGTCATGGTCGTCACAGTCGTCACGGTCGTCGTGGTCGTCGCGACCGTCGTGATCGTCACGGTCTTCGTTATTATCGTGGTCGTCACGGTCGTCACGCGTTCGTTGCGGTCGTCACGGTTGTCGCAGATATTCCTCCAGATTTTTCTCCAGATTTTCCTCCAGATATGACCCCAGGTCGTCACCCAGATCTTCCCCTAGATATTCACCCAGATCTCCACCCAGATCTTCACCCGGGTCTTCCTCGATATCTCTCTTCTCGACATCCCCCAGATCTCTCACCAGATGTTTCTCCGGATTTTCCTCCAGATTTTCCCCCAGATCTTCTCCAAATCTTCGTCCAGATATTCACCTAGATCTTCACCGGGGTCTTCCTCGAGATCTCTCCTCTATTATGGATAGTCCCCAGATCTTTCTCCAGATCTTCCTTCAGATTTCCCGCCGGTCTTCGTCCAGATCCCCCGCCACATCTTTCTCCACATGTTCCTGCATGTTGTGTTTCATACGTTGCTGCAGAGCCCCAGCCCCGCGCAATCGGCATCATCACTGACGCAATCTCTATCAAAACCACCAACACTGGCGACGCGCTGCGCTAAGAAACTGCATACTTCAAAGCTGGCTCTCGCAAGAGGGTTGAGAAATTCAGCGAAGCTGGATCTCAATTTCTTACTGGAAGATCTCTTAGTAAAAGTTTTGAGTGTATGCGGTCGTCATGGTCGTCGCGGCCGTCATGGTCGTAACGTTCGTCACGGTCGTCGCGGTCGTTGTGGTCTTCGCGGTCGTTGTGGTCGTCACGGTCGTCGCGGCCTTCGTTGTCGTTGTGGTCGTCACGGTCGTCATGGTCGTCGTTGTCGCGTTCGTCACGGCCGTCATTGTCGTCATGGTCGTCATGGCCGTCGTGGGCGACACGGCCGTTACGGTCGTCACGTTCGTCACGGTCGTCACGGTTGTCACGGTCGTCGCGGTCGTCGCGGTCGTCGCGGACGGTCGTCACCGTTGTCACAGTCGTCACGGTCGTTTCGGTCGTCTCAGTCGTTGAGGTCGTCGTGGTCACCGCGGCCGTCGTGGTTTTCATGGTAGTCATGGTTGTCAGGGTCGTCACGGCACGGCCGTCACAGTCGTCTCGGTCGTCACGGTTGTCATGGTCGTCACGGTCGTAGCAGACGTCACGGTTGTCGTGGTCGCCACGGTCGTCGCGGTTTTCGCGGTCCCCGCGGTCGTTGTGGTCGTCGTTGTCGTCGCAGCCGTCATTGTCTTCGTTGTCGTTGCGGTCGCCACGGTCTTTGCGAACGTCACGGTCGTCATGGTCGTCGAGGCCGTTACGGTCGTCACAGTCGTCATGGCCGTCACGGTCGTCGTGGTCGTCGTGGACGTCACGGTCGTCATGGTCGTAGTGGAGGTCACGGTCGTCACGGCCGTCACGGTCGTCATGGTGGTCGGGGTCTTCGCGGTCTCCGCGATCGTCGTGGTCGTCGTTGTCGTCACAGTCGTCACGGTCGTCGTTGTCGTTGCGGTCGTCACGGTCGTCAGTGTCAATGTGGTCTTCGTTGTTCTTGTGGCCGCCACGGTCGTCACAAGTGTCCCGGCCGTCATGGTCGTCACGGACGTCGCGGTCTTCGCGGTCGTCGCGGGCGTTGCGGTCGTCGCGGTCGTCACGGTTGTCATGGTATTCACGGTTGTCGAGGTTGTCGTGGTCGTCGTGGCCGTTACGGTAGTCACGGTCGTCACGGTATCAAGGTTTTTGTGGTTTTCGGGGTCGTCATACGGTCGTCCCGACCGTCACGGTCGTCCCGGCCGTCACGGTCGTCACGATAGTCGCCGTCTTCGTAGTTTTTTTGGTCGTCGTTGTCGTCACGGTCGTTGTGGTCGTCCAAGTGGACGCGGTCGTCACGGTCGTTACGGCCCTCCCAGTTGAGAACCGATCGGCGCATTCACACGGAGTTCCATTGAACGCCCCAGCGGTGTCCCCCGCACCCATGTCGGCACGCCCCCCGTGTCGTGGCCCGACAGGGATCTCCACCGCGAGCTTCGGTTGCAGTGCTCGCACGCATCCCCCGCACCCATTTCAACACACCCGTCACACGCTTCGTGGCCCCATGGAGGCCCCAGCGGCGGTGTTCGCATGCGTCCCCCCACATATTTCGGCACACACCCTACACATTTCGTGGCCCCGTAGGGAACTCTGCCGAAGACGATTCTCACAATTGCGTATGGTTGGGTCCTTCGCCAGGCCATTTTTTTTTCAGGCCTGTTGGCGGCCAACCCCCGAAAGAAATCCGCGTATACAGCCTGTTGGTGTTTTTTTTGACACCGTTTTGGTGTTTCTTTACGGCATCTTGGGAGGTTGTTGGGTGGTTCTTGGACGTTTGTTGGACGGAAGACTAGTCACGAGAATTCGAGTTATTTTTGTTGGGGCCCACTGTGGCCCTGTCGGGGCCAGCCTGGACCATCTTGGGCGGGTCCTGCGCCGTCTTGGAGCCATCCTGAGGGCTCTTTTGGGCCGTCTTGGATCGAACATGGGGTCCTCTTGAGCCGTCTTGGACGGTGTGAGCACCAAGAAGGCGAGCATGCGACAAATGCACTTTGCACATGGGTTGGGACAACCATTGCCTCTCAGGGGCCTTCTTGAAGATCTTGTGGGGTGATTGCGTTTGCTTTGAAAGATCGGCATGTGTTGAAGGAATCCGCTCTTTGGGAAGAGGTTCGTTACGTCCACCTTCGTTTTGGCGCGCCTGCCCCGAGTACCTACAGCCCCCATGAGTTGGGAGCGAGGTTATTTTTGTTATTTGAATTTCTTCCTCCGCGTGTCTTTATGTTGTTTCACGCCCCCGAATTGCAATCGCGAGAGCGCACTTCAGAGCTGCGATCGCAAATTTATCATTCCATTCCAACCAACGGCTGGTTATGTCCATTTTTTGTCAGCAAATATTGTTTTGAAGCAAAGATGATGCCAGCACACATTTCAATAAGTATAGGTGGATGCCGACAGCATTGTTGGTGGATCGAAACCGCTTGTTACATTGATTTGCGGTCGTACGACCCCACGCTTGGTTCCAATTTTTGTGGTCGCCCAATTTCTTTTAGCGTTGTTTTGGTGGCGCGTTGCGGCCGAATGCGGTTCGCGAGTGTTCGATTGCGAAGTAAATTCAAGGGTTTGATGATGGGAGGTTTGTGACGAGTAAATATTTGAGAGCGTTTCTTTATGTTCGGCGATGACAGGCGTCATGGGGAGGGGCGGGTGGGGGTATGACGTAACGCCCCCCCCCGCCGTGTGGCTCCGGCACCACAGCCGCGCCCGCGCGCACGACGGGACGAGCGACAAGCGACGACGACGACGACGACGACGACGACGACGCGAGCAGCATGTAGGTGGCGATCTGCCCCCCTGCGCCTGTGTACACCACAACGCTCGCGCGCACCACAGCGCGCGTGTACACCACAGTGCCTGCGTACATCGCAACAACCGTGCATTGCAATGCTTGCGTACACTACAGCGCCAGTGTACACGTGCACACCGGAGGCAACCACGTGCAACACAGCGCCTGTGTACACCACAATGCTTGCGTGCACCGCAGCGCTTCTGCACGCCACAGCGCTTGTCTACACCACAGCATCCGCGTGCAACGCAGCGCCATTGCACACCACGGCGGTTGCGCGCTTAGGACAGGTAGAAGGAGCTTGTACGTGAGGATCTGCTGCGGAAGCGCCAAGTCAGGAAAGTGTTGATAATCGAATGTGACGTTTTTCCTTGTTCCCTTCTCCTCCATTTTCACTTCTTCCTCCTCCTTTTCCTCTTCCTCCTCCTCCTCCTCCTCTTCCTCCTTACCCCTTGTCGTGCGGGTTGGCGCTACAGCGCACGTGCGCAACACAGAGTGCACCTCAGAATGGTCGATTGAATCGGCCTACTTGGTTCTCGGACGGCAAGTTTAGCTGGAGCCTCCTGGACGCAGATGGAAGGAGTTACGGTGGCGCGGGCGAACTCGGAAGGACTCGTACATTCCCGTGGTGCTTTGTCCATAAGGATGATTTTCTTTGCGTCTTCGGTGGCATCCACAAACGCTCCATTTTGTCATAATGATTCCTTCTTACGTTCTACATACAACAACAGTGTTGTGTTGCACACGGATGTTGTGGTGCACACAAATGTTGCACACGGCTGACGCAGGCGCAGTGGTGAACACAAGAGTTGTTGACGCTGTGTTGCACGCGGCTGTTGTGATGTATGTTGATGGCGTGGTGGACGCAGGCGCTGTAGTGCACGCGGGCACTGAGGTCATCGGCCGGGATGTTTTATTATATATATATGAATATATATATATATATATATATATATATATACGAAGGACGGAGAGAGAAAAAAAATATCCCGGCAAAGCAACCTAACAGCGATGTGTAGGAGCATATTTGGAAGCATTCCCCTTAAGATTCGGATGAGAATCCAGTTGTAGAATTCTGCTGTTCTCGCAGTCGTAGTCGCATTCGCGATGACAGTCGCAGTGGCAACGGCAGTCGCAGTCACAGCCTCAGCCTCAGCCTGCCTCAGCCTCAGCCTCAGCCTGCCTCAGCCTCAGCCTCAGCCTCAGCCTGCTTCAGCCTCAGCCTCAGTCTGCCTTCGCCTCGGCCTCAGCCTCCGCCTCAGCCTCAGCCTGCATCAGCCTCAGCCTCAGCCTCAGCCTGCCTCAGCCTCAGCCTGCCTCAGCCTCAGCCTCAGCCTGCCTCAGCCTCAGCCTCAGCCTGCTTCAGCCTCAGCCTCAGTCTGCCTTCAGCCTCGGCCTCAGCCTCAGCCTGCCTCAGCCTCAGCCTGCATCAGCCTCAGCCTCAGCCTCAGCCTGCCTCAGCATCAGCCTGCCTCAGCCTCAGCCTCAGCCTGCCTCAGCCTCAGCCTCAGCCTGCTTCAGCCTCAGCCTCAGTCTGCCTTCAACCTCGGCCTCAGCCTCAGCCTGCCTCAGCCTCAGCCTGCATCAGCCTCAGCCTCAGCCTCAGCCTGCCTCAGCCAGCCTGCAGCCTGCCTCAGCCTCAGCCTCAGCCTCAGCCTCAGCCTCAGCCTCAGTCTGCCTTCAGCCTCGGCCTCAGCCTCAGCCTGCCTCAGCCTCAGCCTGCATCAGCCTCAGCCTCAGCCTCAGCCTGCAGCCTCAGCCTGCAGCCTCAGCCTCAGCCTCAGCCTGCGCCTCAGCCTCAGCCTGCAGCCTGCAGCCTCAGCCTGCCTCAGCCTCAGCCTCAGCCTGCCTCAGCCTCAGAAGCTTGCGCCTCAGCCTGAAAAAAATGTGGCCCGGGAATGGAATTCTGGGAACTCGAAAAACACAAGTGGCCTACAGTTGGCTCCGGGCATTCAAAATCATGCCCAGGAATGGAGTTCTGGGAACTCGAAGACACGAAGTGGCCTACAGTTGGCTCCGGGCATCCAAAATGTGGCCCGGGAATGGAGTTCTGGGAACTCGAAGACACGAAGTGGCCTACAGTTGGCTCCGGGCATCCAAAATGTGGCCCGGGAATGGAGTTCTGGGAACTCGAAGAGCACGAAGTGGCCTACAGTTGGCTCCGGGCATCCAAAATGTGGCCCGGGAATGGAGTTCTGGGAAGTCGAAGAGCACGAAGTGGCCTACAGTTGGCTCCGGGCATCCAAAATGTGGCCCGGGAATGGAGTTCTGGGAGGTCGAAGAGCACGAAGTGTGTGACTGTTGGCTTAAAACGAGCCCGGCTCTGTTCCCGGTTCTTTTCCCCGGCACCCGCCCAGACCCCCCTGTGGAGTCATCAGATGCTTTCTTTTGAGTCCATTAGAAAACCTATCAGCAAAAACTGTTAGGTAAAACAAATTATTCTGCGACGTACCCAACCCAATGGCATCAAGTGGCAAGCGGAGTACGGAAACATTAGCAGGAACCGTGACAGTGCAGGCGCGGCCTTCGAAAGTGACGACAGGGCTAGCACGTCTCGGTGATTGCCGCCGCCGCTGCAGCACGGGCCGGACTTCCTCCCCCCTTCCTTCTCCACCTCCACCCCATCGTTTTCCCCTTCCTCGTCTTCCGCTTTGCGATACTCGCGCGCTTCAAAATGGCGACCCAAGAAATTAATTTCACAACCTGGCGATGGTGTAAGAATCGGGAATGATTAGCGGGCATGATGGGCAACCTCATTTCCAAGCCAAATCGCCACAGTGATCATTCATCATGCTCGTGATCAAAAGAACTGAGTGACAAGAGAGCCCGAGGGGCAACCTCACCTCTGAAACGACCCGCGTCAGTGGTGACAGTTTCCCAGAATGGCAGCCCCCCAGGGACGGCGAGGTCTAATATGAATCTGGGTGGTGCCTCACTCCGCGGGACTGACCAGCAGCCTTCGAAAATGGTGACAGTTTCAAAGATCGCAGCCCCCCCAGGGATGGTGAGGTCTAATCTGAATCTGCGTGGTGCCTCACTCCGCTGGACCCACCAGCAGCCCTCGAAAGTGGTGACCGTTTCGCAGATCGCAGACCCCCAAGGATGGCGAGGTCTAATCTGAATCTGCGTGGTGCCTCACTCCGCTGGACCCACCAGCAGCCCTCGAATGTGGCGATAGTTTCGCAGATCCACCCAGGGATGGCGAGGTCTAATCTGAATCTGCGTGGTGCCTCACCCCGCTGGACCCACCAGCAGCCCTCGAATGTGGCGACAGTTTCGCAACCAGCAGCCCTCGAATGTGGCGTCAGTGTCGCAGATCGCAGCCCCCCAGGGATGGCGAGGTCTAATCTGAATCTGCGTGGTGCCTCACTCCGCTGGACCCACCCTCGGCCCTCGAATGTGGCGACAGTTTCGCAGATCGCAGCCCACCAAGGACGGCGAGGTTTAATCTGAATCTGCGTGGTGCCTTACTCCGCTGGACCCACCAGCAGCCCTCGAATGTGGCGTCAGTGTCGCAGATCGCAGCCCCCCAGGGATGGCGAGGTCTAATCTGAATATGCGTGGTGCCTCACTCCGCTGGACCCACCAGCAGCCCTCGAAAGTGACGACAGTTTCGCTGATCGCAGCCCCCCAGGGACGGCGAAGTCTAATCTGAATCTGCGTGGTGCCTCATTCCGCTGGACCCACCAGCAGCCCTCGAATGTGGCGTCAGTGTCGCAGATCGCAGCCCCCCAGGGATGGCGAGGTCTAATCTGGATCTGCGTGGTGCCTCACTCCGCTGGACCCACCAGCAGCCCTCGAAAGTCGAGGTCTAATCTGAATCTGCGTGGTGCCTCACTCCGCTGGACCCACCAGCAGCCCTCGAAAGTGACGACACTCTCGCAGATCGCAGCCCCCCAGGGATGGCGAGGTCTAATCTGAATCTGCGTGGTGCCTCACTCCGCTGGACCCACCCTCAGCCCTCGAAAGTGGTGAGAGTTTCGCAGATCGCAGCCCCCCAGGGATGGCGAGGTCTAATCTGAATCTGCGTGGTGCCTCACTTCGCTGGACCCACCAGCAGCCCTCGAAAGTGGCGACAGTTTCACAGATCGCAGCCCCAAAGGGATGACGTAAAAGGCAAGAGAGAAGAGGAGGAGCGAAGAGAGGAGGAGAAGGGAAGCAAGAGAGGAGGAGCGAAGAGAGGAAAAGGGATGCAAGAGAGAAGAGGAGGAGCGAAGAGAGACGGAGAAGGGAAGCAAGAGAGGAGAGGAAGAGGGAAGAGAGGAGGAGGAGGCGGGAAGGAAGGAAGGTGGAGACCGCAGTGCTCCATTCAAAACGAGTACCCAACGCAGGAGGGTTGGGAAAAAAAGGCTCCAGCCGCGCCCGCGCGCACAACGACGATGAGCGACGAGCTACGAGCCAGAGCGCAGACGACGACGACGATGACGATGACTGCAGAGCAAACTCTTTTGCGGATTCCGACGCGGACACCTACGCGGATCCCAGTACGCACGGCGGCACTGTCCGGACCGCACTGGTGGGGGGAGCGTTACGTCATAGGGGAGAAAGGGGGTGCGGGCTATGTCCTAAGCGAAGAAAATGTTTTCCCTCGGCCATTGTTAAGAATATTGTACGAAGCCTGGTATCACGCCGTGTAAATTTGAGGCAATGTCGATTTTTATATCGCAAACGTTGCGCCGATAATACGAACCTCCGTTCCACCTACGACAATACGGTCGTTACCAAAAATGATCCACGGAGGGAAAGAATCCGAGCCCGAGGCGATGTATGGTTTGGTAGCGCAGAGGTTG